TTTCTATTGCACTTAAGTTTGCTATTATGTTTTTTTCTCTCATTGAACACTGTTATGCCATACACGTTATATAAACTAAAAATGCCACAATTTGTAAACCTACGATGACATTAGATGTGAATAAAAATGTATTGAGAGTCAGAATACGGAAAAAACATTTCAGACCAATTACGTGTTCTTACACAATCCGGATACAGATAGGCCTGATTTCGACGTACGGTCATAAAGTTCACATTTCGCAAGACCTGGGTGCTATATAAGTCATTCATGTTTGCAACATTTAATTGAGCTAACCGTTTGAGCTAAAATACAGATGTAAACCTGATGCTGTTATAAACAGGTATCGTCCTATAGGTTTGTAACTGGCACACACACTGTTAGTTCGCTGTCTTTCATTGATGGAATGTAAATTACAATTGACAATTGTTGGTTGACTATTTGGTCGTTTAATTCAATTATTGATTTTATTAGTTTGACTGACATGCATGTGTTCTGAAGTAAGATCAAAGAATAGTTAGAGTAACTAAAAAGTGTGAAATAATTTTGCCTAGTCTTTCATTGCTTGAAAATGTATGACAAAATATTGATTTTTATGGTTTACAATATGGTTTTTCAATATGATTATAAATTTATCACTTTGACTGGCATGCATGTTTGCTAAAGTTAGGTTAAATAATAGTTAAACTAACTAAAAAGTGTGAAATATAATTGTAAGTTTGCTTTAAAATCGTGAAATATTTCAATAAAAATCACAGGTCATGGGAAATACAGCTAGTACACGAAGTACGAAAGATGAGGCAAGTGAAGGTATTGTGAAGTTTTGTAAACTTTTTAAAACAGTAGATAGTCAATATAGTATATTGTATTTTCTCCTGTTTAGATTTAACAATAATTATAACTGGTCGATAATGATTGATAGCTATTAAATAAGAAAAATCAATTGTGTGGTGTCCTTGATCTTTAACTGCCCCAGAATCACTTGTGAATTGAGTTATTTTTCCAGGCTTTGAGGAAACACGAGCTGATGAAAACATGAATGATTTTATATACGGTGGGTGCTTCAAATGAATTACGATTAAAATAAAACATTTGTAATTTAGGTTACTTTATCATGTGTTATGTACGATTAAAACTAATCAATTCTTCAAAAATTCGTTTTATTACATTCAGGAAATCATGAAGCCGAGATCTGCTATGGAGGTGAAACTGACTTACACAAGCACTATACCGGCTGTAAGAAGAATCCAGGTCATGTCAACTTTATACCTGTTAATGATTTTAACTTGGGTCATCTCCCCTCACTTTACCGTGATGTCATTATGTTGGAGGTAATCAAAGCTTTGTCTGCCCTAACGGTCCTGATAAAGGTCAAGTACACCAGTCTAGAGAGACCAGAGTTTGGTGGATGCTTCAGAGGACAGTATCCATTCTATAACACCAGAGGAAGTGACGTGTTGAGGACAGGGACGGGGAGGGTGTGTGGTGTGGTCAAGTACACAGAGAGACACAACAAGGGCACTTGTCCATGTGGCAAGTGTCAACACTCGGACACACCCAGCAAAGTGTGGGGGGAGGTTCGTGTGAAGTCAGCCACACATGTGGTGTTTGATGACAGTGAGGCGAGACAGACCAGGTGTGTTGTAGGTTTTGATGACGATAAAAGTCCTGGAATCAGTCTTGATGGCTGGAAGATGAGAACCGCAGACACTGTAGGAGACTTGTGTGAATTTTCTTGTGTGTCATGTGACTTAGAGTTAATCGATCAACTAAACCGGATGTGCGTCCACTTTGACGATATGCGTAAAAAAGCAGAAGTGAAATACTGGATTCCTGATTGTGTTTACAAGTTGACCATTATAGTGTCACATCCTCATGGCTGTCAGAAAAAAATCTCATTAGGCCAATGGACACAAAGGCATGTTAGAAACTGTATTTCAAACACGTACAGTAGATACAGGTGTATAAAGTATACGTACACAACATGTACATGCCCAGGAAGCAGTGGTGCGACCGTGTGTATTCTGGGATTTGGTCTGTGGATCTCTCACGCTCACAGTGGAACTAACTCTAGAGGGAACTTTAGTGTTGAGTGGTAGGCTTAATTTTTAGATGGTATATTTATCTGCTGCCTTCGCAAACTCTGCACAAATAATAGTAGAAGTAAAAGATAAAGACTTTTCGAAAATGATTCTCGTAAGGAAACCATCGTAGTGTCACTTTGTCCAGGTTAGAAAATAACTTGAATAAACATCAGCATATATTTGAACATAAATATATTTTTTTTGTTATAATTCAGGCTATAGAAAATTGAAAATAAATGAAGTTTTGGCAAACGATGTTCGATGCAAAAGGCCCGTCAACATCACATGAACAAAGGGACATAACAGTAATAATTATGTGAAGTGTGAACTTCTGTTATTTCTCACTTCTCTCCCTTTAGTGATTAAGCTTTATACGTTTTATTATATTTTTCATATACAAATGTGTTACGAAATTTAAAAAAAAGGAAACTACATATATTAGTTTTACATGTGAGAGCATCAGTGAATATTTGCTTACTTAATTTACATTCCTTTACTTGAATTTTTTTTTCCTCTTCGATCTTCATAGTAATATTATATGAAATCTCCAACGCTGTCAAGGCGTTATTCGCCACATGGCCCGTTAACACAGGCTTCAACCTGCTTTTATTCCTGGATTTGCTTCTATAGCATTTGACTAGCCTAGAACCTATTACAAGACAGAAGTTGATTGATTTTGGAGTTGTCTCTCCTACATGAGTTACGGTTCCCAACTAGCAAGCCTCCAGACCCCGCCAGATCCCGCAGTGCAGGAAGGGGGAGGGGGGGGAGGGGGTTCTAGTTCCGCCACTGCACACAATACCCGTTTACGTGAGAATTGTTGTAGCATTTTTACACACAGTACATGAATGTACATGAGTGTACAGGACTGTACATGACTGTACATGACTTTACATGACTGCCATGACTGTACATATCTGTACATGACTTTACATGTCTGTACAGGACTGCCATGATACATGACTGTACATGACTGTACATGACTGTACATGACTGTACATGACTGTACATGACTGTACATGACTGTACATGACTGTACATGACTGTACATGACTGTACATGACTACCATTACTTTACATCACTCTACATCACTCTACATGACTGTAAATGGCTATAAATGACTACACATGATTTTACAACACCTTACATGGCTGCAAAGACTGTGCATGACTCTACATTACTTTATATTACTCTATATGACTGTACAGGGCTGTTCATGTCTACAGCTATTTTGATTCACACTTTTACATAATTATAATTATGTAGGAAAAAAAAATTCAATAACACTATTTATCATTTGTTTTCACAACGATGATTTTTTTTCATTCAAGCTATTTTTCCATTTTTCATTTTAAAATGTTAGTAGTTAAGCTTTCAATAAGGCTTAATACTGCATTTCTGTCTGCTTAGTATTACATTGTTACAAATTTGATATACTACTTATATAATGAAATTGCATCAACCTATCTGTAATGGTACTCAAGTTATCGTGTTCACAGGCAATCACACATACATACATACACATACATACCAACTGACATACCTACTGACAAAATTGCAAAACTATGTTTTTCTGAGATTTTTTTTTTGCACCATTACAATACTATGTCTATGATTCGTAGCCTACACGAGAAAAAAAAACAGAAAACTTTATTTAAACTTTATTACATTTTGCTGGCAAAATAAATGTGTAATGATATTCAAATCATTTTGGAAGATACTAGAGCTATAAGGCTTTCCAGGAAAAGTCATAAACATACTTAAGGCCATGTACTATGACAACCAATGCTGTGTACGACATGAAAACCAGCTAAGTAAATGGTTCAAGGTAAAAACAGGAGTCAGACAGGGCTGTGTCATCTCACCTGTCATCTTTTTGGTGGTCATAGACTGGATTATGAGAAGAGACACTGAGGATAAGCCAAGAGGATTTGTTTGGGAACTTACCAACCACCTGGAGGACTGTGACTTTGCTAATGACTTGGCTTTACTCTCACATGCCGAAAAGACATCCAAGCAAAAACCACATAAATAGAGCAAATTGCTAAAAGCGTTGGGCTAAAGATGAACTCCGGGAAAACCAAGCTAATAAAAGTAAAAACCAAAAGCGCTCTCAAGACCTTAGCGAATGCAGCAGAGCTAGAAGAGGTCGAAGACTTTAAGTACCTCGGCAGCTATATATCAGCAAATGGCAGCATGGAGAAAGAAATAGCCACCAGTATAGCAATGGCAGCACACGCTTTCAACAGACTTGCTAAGATCATGAAATCATCCTCCCTGCAGCAGATAACTAAAATAAGGATCTACAAGTCTAATGTACGTTCTGTACTCCTCTATGCTGCAGAGTCATGGAAACTAAACAAGAAAGGAGAGAGCCGACTCAGAGGCTTTGAAATAAGATCCCTCAACGCATCCTCAGAATAAAGTGGTACGACAAAGTCCATAACAAGGAAATACGACTAAGGACAGGTTTAAAAGACATTGTTTCAGAAGTTCGAATGAGGAGATGGAGATGGCTGGGCCATGTCCTACGCATGAGCAAAAGAAGACTCCCCAACATGGCGCTGAAGTGGACTCCGCCTGGAAAGCGAAAGAGAGGAAGACCACTGGCAACATGGAGGAGAGAGATGGAAGAACAAGTGCAGGCTACTGGCAAGACCTGGTATGAACTAAAGTGGCTCGCCCAAGACAGAGTGGAATGGCGGAGTTTTGTTGTTGCCCTATACTCCACAGGGGATGATGATTAAGTAAGTAAGTAAGACATTAAAAAACTTAACTACATAACAAGAAGAAAAGAGAATAGCTATAAGTATATATATATATATATATATATATATATATATATATATATATATATATTGTTTCAAGCATATATTAATAAAATAGTAAACAGATCTTCTGTTGCACAGGGTCCATTATTATCCTGCAATGCGCCTGTGGTTGAAAAAGTACATGAGGCCTCCGATCAAAATCAGGATCCCACCAGTGATACTTAAGCCAAAGGAGTAGCCCAGCTTTGATGACCTAGTAATAGTTTTGTCATTTGTGTTGGTGGTTTCAGTCTGGTCATAATTTAAATCAGCTCCCCATACAATAATCCCAATCAAAATAAAGACAACTGAAACAACAAAAATGCACTAGATGTTAAAAAATATATAAATAAATAAAAAATAAAACATAAATAAAAATAAAAAAATAAAAAAATAATTACTTTAATTAATTAATTAATTAATTAATTATTAAATGAGTAAATAATAAATAAATAAATAAATAAATAAATAAATAAATTATAATATGTAATATATTATATATATATATATATATATATATATATATATATATATATATATATATATATATATATATATATATATATATTATACATATATATATGGTTCCATGGCAAATTATCTCAGGACAAATGATCTCAGACAAAATATCTCAGACAAAATATCTCACGGACAAATGATCTCAGGACAAATGATCTCAGGACAAATGATCTCAGGACAAATGATCTCACGGACAAAAGATACCAGGACAAAACATACCAGGACAAATGATACCATGGACAAATGATCTCAGACAAAATATCTCAGACAAAATATCTCACAGCAAAATTTTAATAATATGTACAATAATTTTTAGTTGATTTGAACTTTTTTTTAAATTGACTGTCAATATGGTTTGTTTACTCTTTTTACGCATAATAATTGATTGTTATAAAATGTATTTGTTAAACTTTACAAACAAATGTGAATGGGTCTTCAGGTTCGTATTTTAAAACTGTTGTTTTTACTGCATCATCAAAACAAAAATAAAGTGTACGTTTCTTTGCTGGCAGGTACATCGTTATGATCACACATTTCCAATACTATGTGATCATGTATTGTGTGAGCTTTCGCTGTAGCCTACATGTTCTCACTTGACATTTCCAAATCTCTTTGCCTGCTGCTCTACTTATGGCTTTTATAAACAGAAATTCATTAGAAACTAATGCCCTATACTCTATTTGCGAGGTAACGAAAGAGGCCTTAGCTGAGTAATCACCACTAATACTGCTTTGTTAGCATGCACACCATGAAAAGCTTCGCTCCGCGATGACCGCTGTCGTTTAAATAAGCATTTGTCACCTGATCACTAAGGTGTGACCGACGCATAACAATTGACATTGGATGCTAGTTGTATTGATCATGGAGGGCGGATGTCTTTCCCTTAAGGCTGGCTGCCACCTTGATACAAAGGTTTGTCTTTATTGTTATTTCATTCCCTTTGATCTAGTTTCGTCCACCTGACGTGGTAGGATTGTCTCATGTTTGTCAAACCAACCTACGCTGTCTATCGAAACAAACTCTTTAATCTTCGCATTCTTTATTAGTAATCTCTATTTTAAAATGCTTAGTACAATATGGCAAATTTATACGGCAAACATTTCGTACAATTATTATAAAGGCCTATAAACAATATTAAACAGAGTAAACAAAACCATATGACAGTCAATAAAAAAACTGTTCAAATCAACTAAAAGTATCCAATACACTTTTGAAATTTTGCTGTGAGATATTTTGCCTGATATATTTTGTCTGAGATCATTTGTCCATGGTACCTTTTGTCCTGATATATTTTGTCCTGGTATCTTTTGTCCGTTTATATGCTTATATAATAATTGTAAAAAATATTTGCCGTATAAATTTGTCATATTGCACTAAACATTTTAAAGTTAGTATTAGTAATATAGTATACGAAGATTAAAGATTTTTTTCGATAGACAGCGTAGGTGTGCTCAGTGGCGTAGCCAGGATCGTCTCAAGGGGGGGGGGATTCCAATGTTTTTTACCCGGGGACAAACTTTCGATTTGCATACTTTATATATATATATATATACCGAGGGGTCTATGGGGGGTTATGACCCCCCCCCCCCAACCCCCTGCCTACGCCACTGGGTGTGCTTGACAAACATGAGACAATCCTACCACGTCAGGTGGACGAAACTAGATCAAAGGAGATGAAATAACAATAAAGATACACCTTCGTATCAAGGTGGCCGCCTGCTTTGACGACAGAAACATGCCTTAAGGGAAAGACATCCGCCCTCCATGGACAATACAACTAGCATCAACAGTCAATAGTTATGCGTCGGTCACACCTTAGTGATCAGGTGACAAATGCTTATTTAAACAAACAGCGGTAATCGTGGAGCAAGGTTTGTCGTAGTGTGCATCAAACAAAGCAGTATTAGTGGTGATTACTCAGTTATGACCTCTTTCGTTACCTCGCAGAAAGGTTTTAGGAATTCTGGTTAATTTATGTTTGCCATAAGCAGGCAAAGAGATTTGGAAATGTGAAATTAGGACATGTCGCGCAAGAGTTCACACAATAGATGATCACATAGTATATGAGAGGTTTGATCATATTGATGTACCAGCCAGCAAAGAAACGTAAACGTTATGTTTGTGTTTATATTTCGCGTGTTTTAAACCTTAATGTTGTATAACAACCATTACTTTATTTGTTTTACACATTATCATTTATTATACCTTTCAGGCTAAAGGAGTAAGTTTGCTATAATTTTTACTTTTTCGAATCAAATGCTACTGTAACGAGCACCAATCTATCAGCCAGATAGTTGGCGAACGCTCCCGGATTCGTTTCAATGATTATACACAGATGGCGACAAGCCTAAATAAAAGAAAGCTAACACAATAGTTCACTAGGACTCGTACTTGATGTCTAGGGGAAACACTAGAGAAACTACTGATGCCAACAATACATTTAATCTGTATATAACTTTTAATGAGTGTACAAAGTCGTGGCAGAACACTAGATTTATACAGGATAAAATAGATTTACAGAATGAACAAAACCCAACTTACAATTTGTGGGAAAAAATAATATGATACACTATCACAGCTTTTAACACTTCAGAAAAATCACCACAGTTTACACAACACTGCTATAAGCATATAGTATTACTTAACCACAAGTAATATAAGAATATGCTACTTAAACAACTTAGTACTATACGGCGACACACAGGGCTTATTATCTCTCAAAGATGTCTGGTCAAGTAACTGCCCAGATTGTGTGAGACGTGTGCGATAAGTCTCTATGGAGACTCACAGATCACTCAAATGTCTATCCCTAGACCACTTAAGTCACTCGACCACACAGGCCACCACCGAGGGTCATGGGATCTAACCGGGAACACCCGGCCGCCGCCGTGAGCGAGCGCGATCCTGGCCTCTAGAACAGTGGACCACCCTAATCACTGAATCACAGTGATTCGAACCGAGGAATTGAACCTCGGCCGCCGCCATGGCGCGCCGAGATCCTAACCACTGTACCACATCCTGGTCCGTATCAATCAATCATCTCATAATGGAAAAGTACTGAGTCTAAGACTTTCTTAAGACAGTGGAAAAAACCAGTGATTACACCACATACCATATATGGTAAAGTAACAAATGTAAAAATAAAAATACCAGACCTAAGTAGGTCACACTACGACAAAGTTTAATAAATCTTTTGGTGGTTCGTTAGGTTTAAAAAATTCATTTTATTCACAATTATTATGCGTAAAAAAATATACAAACCCACATTAACAGTCAATAAAAAAAAGTTGAAATCAACTAAAATCATCGTACATACTATTAAAATTTAGCTGTGAGATATTTTGTCTGAGATATTTTGTCTGAGATCATTTGTCCATGATATCATTTGTCCTGATATATTTTGTCCTGGTATCTTTTTTCCGTGAGATCATTTGTCCTTGAGATCATTTGTCCTGAGATCATTTGTCCTGAGATCGTTTGTCATGGAAATATATATATATATATATATATATATATATATATATATATATATATATATATATATATATATATATATATATATATATATATATATATATGTTACGGTCAAAGCCCAAAGTCGGCCAATGCTAGGATTGGCCGGCCAATCCGCGCATTGGCCAATATCGCCTCCCATAGGTCGGTCAAAGTCCGAAACTTTGCTTCATTTCGGCCTTTGGCCGGCCAATCCGCAGACTGGCCATTGTGGACCGGCCAAAGTCTGAAATAGCTCTTGATTTCGGCCTTTGGCCGGCCAGTCCCGGCCAGTCCGCGGACTGGCCATGGTGGACCGGCCAAAGTCTTAATTAGAAGATCATGAGCAGATTTTTGTTTTTTTTATGCCGGTAGGATCATGAAATTAAGTCTTTGTTGATTATTAATTAAAGTAAATGACAGAAACATTCTGAGTGCACATAGTACAAAATAGCACCATTGTCTTCTGTAAGTGGTACAATAAGTTTTTCTTTACCGTCAACTTCAATAACATCATATTTGTTTAGTCGACGATAGTCAACAGTCTTTTTTGTCTGCTTTGCTTTAGCCTGTTTGACGTCCTCTATCATAGCAATGTATTTGTCTTTGCTTAGAATAAAGCTATTGTTTGGTTTTCCATGCAGTACTGTAGTCAAATGGTCTAAAAACATAGTTTTCATGTCAAACGTTGGTTCGATATTTGCATGAGCGCCACCTTCAACCAGCGTGGTTGTCTCGTCAGAAGAAGCCATTGGAAGACCTATAGAACAATAATACGACTAATTGAAATGGAATCATGCTGCATGGGATATTCGTATACAACAATATAATCAATTAAATAAATACTTAGTATGTAACTAGACACACATTCAACAATAAGAGATTTAAAAGATTACCATTTCAATAAATTATAGTCTTTATTGCAATGTTTGTTAAAATTTCCTAAACCATAATGTATCTATTAATATTTGCAAGAGCATTACATGTTATATAAACCGGGAGTATCTTATATAACACTACGGGGTATGGCAACTCGGGATATAGGCATTATTGTTAATCCATTTTTAATTACTTAAACTTTTTAAAATATAATAGAATCGCGTAGAAAAAGAATTGTGCACTAGGTCAACGCCAAATAAAATGTGTAAATTATTACTTCCGGTCAACGGAAATTACTCAAAATTTAACAGAAGATATTTTAGTTATACGTGAAATTTCATTTATCTATCTGAAGTTGATGCAGATCTACAAATTTGATATTATACTTATATATGAAATTTCATCTGCGTGACTGTAACGGTAATCAAGCTATCGTGTTCACACACACACACACACACACACATACACACACAGAGACATACGGACAATATTGCAAAACTATTTTTTTCGGACTCAAGGAGATTTGAAAAAATCTCGATTTGTTTTTGCACGATTACAATAATTTCTCTATATTTCATATACGAGAAGGTAAAAAAAAAGCTAATTACAGAAAGGCTGATACAATAGTAAAAAAAAAAACATCACTGTCTGTATTTTAATAATCAAAGATCTAAAACTTACCGATTTTGGCAAACATGACTCCACAAGCAAGCAAACGTAGTGTTAAACAGTCAAGTAATCCGCAGTGCAAAGAAATCTGGAATGCAATTCTGTCGGTATTTATCATGCAGTCCAGTCAAGGCACGGTGATGGGTCTGCTTTATTTGGTATTCCCCTTTTGTTGGGGAAATATGGTTTCTCACGCCCACGCCATCTCAAGTCGCTTGGACACTATTGTTCAACTTACAAGGAACGCGGCAAAGTCTTTTGAACGTTCCGTCTTGTTGCACGTGGTCGGTGACGCCGACTGTCTTTGATTTTGTTCTTTGATGATTGTCTCACCTCGTCATCATAGAGGAGGCTGTCACATACAGTTGTAGCCCATATATGGAAATCAACATGGATTTACATTATTTTCTTTTGACAGCCATTTGCTATGTCTGTCTCATGGTCTGACGGCCCTTTTGATCTATGTCGCCTTGCATATAGAATGCTATACAAACAAGAGCTAAAAAATACGTTACTCACAATGAAACCGCACACAGAATAATGAAAACGCGATCACAACTTAGTCTAGATAGAACATTGGCCAGGACATCCCGGCCAATGCGCGCATTGGCCGGCCAATGTACAAAATACGCTGTCAAGTTTAAGCATTTCGGACTTTGGCCAGTACGTCCCGGCCAGTGCGCGCATTGGCCGGCCAATGTACGAAATACGATCTTAGTTCTAAGTTCTTCGGGCTTTGGCCAAGAGAGCCGGCCAATCCGCGCATTGGCTGGCCAATCCGGGGTTTGGCCGCACTTCGGGCTTTGACCGTAACATATATATATTTATATATATATATAAAGAGAGAGAGAGAGAGAGAGAGAGAGAGAGAGAAAAGGGTGAGGGAGGGAGAGATAGATAGACGGATAACTAGATTTCAATAGCCCTCTATATAAACTCAGAAACATTTATAATGATCTTTTAATTTGAAATATTTTAATACCACTTACACGAGGCAAGAGTCGAGGCAGCTACAACAGTTGGGAATGGAATAATTGGAAGTTTCTCGTAAACCTTATGGTAGATGTCTACTATTGCCATAGCCAACACTACAAAGCTGGCCAACATCCCCAGGATAGCCATGGCTTGGCACGCTTTTATGCTCACTGGGTACGACATATTTGCTGGTGGTAATAAAAATAATGCTTTTTAAAAACATATTATATATTTTGTTAAACATTTATAATTACTTAAGCACACAGACATACGAACATACACATATACAAATATATATATTTAAAATAAAAATTAAACAGCCAACTACAACCAACAAAAATGTAATGTGAAAGATGACCCTTATGTAATACCGAATAGGGACCAAATCAAATCTTTTTATTGCCTCTGGTTGTATATTGTTTTCAAATAAAAAATAAACATTAGGCACATTTCTTTATTTTTTTAAGTAATAGATTTACACAGGAAAACAATGTTTAAAACAAATAATTATGAGATATATCATGTATAATCGTTCTCGCATTTGAGGCCATGTGAACAGTCTAAGAGTAAATTGTTGGTGTATAGACATGATTAAAATGTATGAGAGTTTGTGAAACATTGATAGCTCGTTGCATATTTTCCTTAACGGGCGACAACAACTATTATCTGCAATTTTTTTTATTGGCAAACATATTTTACTAATAATTTTGAAACTATACAAATTGCACTAATATCAAGACACCCATTTTAAGCTATGCTGCATAAACTTAAAATGTGCTGTATAAACTAAAAATTACCTGTTCCAATTAAATCTAGACATTTTCCCTCGGAGCATACTTTCCAGAGACCAATATTTTCGTACACGTATTCAGAAAAGTTAGAAGACCATAAGTAATATTCCAACACTGTCCACTCCGTGGTCGCTAGCCCTATGATGTGTAACAACATCCCAGCGAATATAACACCGATGGCGACGATGAAGATGATGTTGATTTTAGATAGAAGTGACATTACGAGGTTACTGTTGAAAATATATATTCATTAATGAAAAGATATGTATTTGAAAGAAAACCGCATTTTTTTAGAGCCAGAGCCAGTCGAAAACCCATACCCAGTCCCAGACGCATACCCAGTCCCAGACGCAGACCCAGAACCAGACGCAGACGTAGACCCAGAACCAGACGCAGAACCAGAACCAGAACCAGAACCAGAACCAGACGCAGACCGACATCCGAGACTCGGACTCGGACCCGGACCTGGACCCGGACCTGGACCTGTACCTGTACCTGGAACTGGACCTGGCCTTGGACCTGGCCTTGGACCTGGACCTGGACCTGGACCTGGCTTTTGACCTGGAACTGGACCTGGCCTTGGACCTGGCCTTGGACCTGGACCTGGACCTGGACCTGGACCTGGACCTGGACCTGGACCTGGACCTGGACCTGGACCTGGACCTGGACCTGGACCTGGACCTGGACCTGGACCTGGACCTGGACCTGGCCTTGTACCTGGACTTGCCATGAACCTGGACCTGGACTTACATTCAGAAATTATTCACATATTTTATTTTCCAAGACCCAACACATTTAAAAATAATCTTAAAATTAACTTTTGTCAGTAACACAATTTTCAGTACTAGCCGTCCCGGCCAGGCTCTGCACTGGCTTTTGTGAAACGCAGGCCATTCTGTGAACAACCTTGAATTGTGCGATTATTAAGTATCACATTGCCGGCGCTGCCTGGGTTTTTGCGAATATATTAAATATCCAATTAATGTCTATATGCAATTATAGAATATATATATATATATATATATATATATATATATATATATATATATATATATATATATATATATATATATATATAGATAATTCTAAACCTAAAGCAGAGGCGTAGCGATCCTTCACGGCGCCCGGGGACAAACTCTCAATTTGGCGCCCCCCTTCGGAACAAGTTTTCAATTTTCAATTTGAATCCCCCCCCCCCACCCTCAAACTTTCAATTTGGACAACCACCTTCAAACTTTCTTTTTCCACCCCCCCCCCCCCCCCAGTCCCCCAAACGAACTCTCAAAATGTTTTTCCATCCTAGTTTGGCGCCCCCTAAGTATCTAACCTATTCCTAACATATCATTGAGCTATCCCCACCCGGATCTCTCTCTCAAAATGACGGGTGAATAATTGATTGGGGTGATGTTCTACTGCAACTCTTTTGGGCTGGGATGTGTAGAGTTAGGGGATTTACTAATTTTATTATTTATTTTATCGTTACAAGAATTACACCATTTTTGGTTCTTCTTAATTTAAGCGAAATTGACGTCGTAGTAGTGATAAAGTAAATAATAATAAAATTAGTAAAAAATGCGCCTTAAAGGGCTGAATTAAATTAATTAAACCCTGAATTATAATTATAGTAATATTTTAAATTATAAAAATATCTAATTTTACTATATCCCCAGCCTAGTTTTTATAATGCACCTGTGTGGGAAAAAATAAACTCGATCAGTTCAGGCGTATTGGTGTATATAAAAGAGAAAGCCAGTCCTCCGCAACTAATATACTTTGATTTTTCGTATATAGATTCTCTTTGATTTATGTAAAATAATATCTGCCTTTAGACACTGTATTTCTACTAATTCCTACATGTAACTTTACCGTAAGCTAAACAGGAAAACAACTGAACAATGGTTAACTTACTATGTTTTGGATTAACTCCTGCGAAATTTAGTCTTTACATGTGTTTAATCCTCAACAATTTAATTTTTTGTCCAGGTCTGCATCAACCTCAGGGTTCGTTCTTCCACTTTAAGCGTGTGCTTGTTTCTGGAAAATATTTCCGTTCTGTGGATTCGTTGAGTCGTGTCGGTAATCAAACCCTTGTGTGCACTAGCTTATGGACTCCCCCCCCCCCCCCATCCACTCGACCTTTACGCTCTTCTAAATATAAAAATAATAGCACGTGTTATAAAATGCCTAATGGGTGTTAATAAAAGCATGCATTCAGTTTTAGCAATGTTGTATTTCTAAACACAGGAGATATGGTTTCCTTACGGCGTTTTAAGGTTATGTAAAGAAAGAACTGCTACTCCTCATATTAGGTGATTTAAAAAAAAAAAAAGAAATGAAACTAACATTACGTATTTTGTGTATATTTTAGTTGAACCAGTGTTGCCTTACTAAACGATGTACGAGTGCAGTATGCGTTGGACTAATTTATTTGTTTTTCTTTAATTAAGTAGTTTTGTCACTCAAGAGAAGAAACGTTGATATTGATGCTTGGCTTTATTAAATTGAATTAAAAATAACCGGATGGTGTAATAACATTTTTGGCTCAAAAATACTATTTACATTGTCAGTTTGTTTAGCCTTAGTTCGCAATATTATTACACTTTTCATCCTCGCCTTGTGAGTATTAAAACAGATTGTTTGTAGTTTACAAATCACGTAATATTGCGAGTTGTACAACACCTATGTTAAAATTGAAGCCTCTAACAATTTTTACAAGTTTTACGTTTTTTTTTTCAAATGGTAAGAGCATGTATTTTCTATGTTAACCATTAAAACATTATCTCCAAGTTGCTGTAGCGATAATTTTCCGTCTGATTTTTATTTAACATTTCAATCAAAATACCATAGTTTAGTTATCTCACGGTCCACATCTGCTATAGAAAAAAAACGTCGCACCCCTAACATCTTTCTCCGCAACTCCCCCCCCCCCACCCCACCTTCTGGTAAAGTGTTTTGTTTCGCTAGGCTGAATTTTGAGGTCACAGCCGAGTGTGTTGGCGAGTTGTCAAGCTCCAGAATGAAAATTTCTTATCACACACCACTTACATTCCCCGCCCAACGTTTATGCACCAACACAATGAAAACAATTTTATTTGAATTTTAATTTATAACTGGGTTGCCATTTACAGATCGAGAGCCTCATTCATTTAGTTACAACATATAGAGAACATATAGAGAAATGATGTGAACTGTATTAGGGCTACAGTGTGTATATTTCGCCCGGTCAGTTACCCATAGAAACTGGGTGTACGTCGAGATACCATTCATAGTTTCTTCAAGGCATCTCTTCGGGGATGGGGCGTACCTACCACCGTAAAAAGTCTACCCCCCCCCCGTACGAAATTGAATTTATTTAGAAAATATATACTTTAAACAGTATCCGACGCCCCCCCCCCCCCCCCACACCCCCCTCCCCTGACGGCAATTTTAAGTGCATCCCTGGAAAAAAAACACCCTGAAATAAAAAATAAACACTGATACCACTGCCATCAGAATGATGTAAATTGGAATATCAAAGTGTGTTAGGCTCTGATCACTAATCAGGATATTATCTCTAGCAATAATCAATAAGCAATTATTTTTAGCACGGTTAAAATACTTCATCTATACTTCGTATATGCTTGAGCGATAACAATTCTTCCTCTATAGGCCTACTCCGTATACGAAGACGTAACCAAAAAAAACGGGGGAAAAAAAGCTTTGTCATTGAATGCGGGCTATGTGGATTGGGAATTTTTCTACCTGAGTATGAATGTCTGTACCTCTGAATGTCTGTGTCTATGAATGTCTGTACCTCTGAATGTGCTAACGTACGAAGATTATCGATTCCATTCAGCGGTGACCTTCGGTATTTTTTCCCCTAGTCGACAATGTATGGGTGTAGGATTTGTGAAGAAATTTATTCAAGCGAGATAAGAGCTTCCGGTTTTAATCGTGTTTGAAGATATTCAATTACCTCCGTTTGTGTACTGCACCAACCTAACTAAACTAATTCTCTCTCTCTCTCTCTCTCTCTCTCTCTCTCTCTCTCTCTCTCTCTCTCTCTCTTTCTCTTTCTCTGTGTGTGTGTGTGTACTGACTTCATAACTAAACTGAACCTGTGTGTGTGTGCGTGTGTTTGTGTGTGTGTGTGTGTGTTTGTGTGTGTGTGTTTGTGTACTGACATCACCAACCTAACTAAACTGAACCTGTGTGTGTGTGTATGTATGTGTGTCTCTGTTTATGTGCACTGACTTCACCATCATAACTAAACTGAACATCGGTGTTTGTGTGTGCGAATGTGTATAGTGACATCACCAACATAACTAAACTGAACCTGTGTGTGTGTGTGTTTGTGTGTGTTTGTGTGTGTGTGAGTGTGTGTATGTGTGTGTAAAGACTTCAATAAACTAA